GGAAGGAAGGAAGGAAGGAAGGAAGGAAGGAAGGAAGGAAGGATGGAAGGAAGGAAGGAAGGAAGGAAGGAAGGAAGCATGGTGTGCGGTGGTCGGCTGCACGCCGGTGTGACCCTAATGCTAAAAATAACAAGGTGGCCCGAAGTAGGCCGAGCCGGCTGAAACGGTTTCCATAGTTCAACAAGCGCCGCCGCGCCGCTGCCCGAGAGAAGCTGTGACCACCGGGATCCCTGGCCCCTTCGGGGCAAACTTGATCAATTATTACGACGTCCCCGAGAGCGACGCTATTCCACGGACCTCGTTCGCAGTCCCGTGACGCGAATTATCGGGAAACTTGAACGGCGATCTTACCACGGCGTCGGTCCCGAGCGAGCCCCCGTTCGCGCCGTTTCCTTTATCAACTCGTTCATCGCACGTATACTCCGCTTCGTAATTGTACTGTTAACTCAGTTCGCGGTGCTTGAATCGTCTTACCGCGGTACAGAAGTCAAGAAACTGTGTTTCGGTAATTATTTATCGAATTATTTATCGTCTTTGATTCTGATCAAATTTATGTATGTTGTGCAATTTGATATTCTGAACAAGTTTTTCCTTTACGGAAATCGTCTATCTGCTTTAGTTTCTGAGATATCTGCGGAAAACTGTGGACCTAACCTAGACCTAACTTAGAAGTAACATGGGTCTAACGCGGACATAACCTATGATGTTTAGTAACCTGTAATCTGATCTGCAAGTAGTATACATTTTTTCAAGAACGGATCTTCAAATCTACGACATTGTAAGTATAGGTTAGGTCTATAGATCTTGATAGAATTGAACCATGTTGTACCGAACGACATTTTGAACAAATGTTTCCTTTACGGAAGATGTCCATCTGCTCTAGTTTCCGAGATATTTGCGAGAAACTGTAAACCTAACCTAGACCTAACCTAAATCTAGCATAGACTTAACGAAGACATAACTTATAACGTTTTCTAACCCACAACCTGTACTTATAATGTCCACTTTCTAATTCACGGGAACAGCCAATATCTTGAACATTGTATGTATAGGTTATGTCTGGATTACGTCTTGGTTAGGTCTGCGTTAGGTGTACAGTTTTTCGTGAATATCTCGGAAACTAAAGCAACTGGACATTTCCCGAAAAGGAAAAAGTTGTTTAGTACGTCACGCTGCACAACATATTAAAATTTCATCAGAATCGAAGTCGAGAAGACTTTCACAGATAATTGATAATAATTGATTAGGATAATTGCCAATAATATGGCTCTGAATAGTTTCTATAAATTCAAAGTGCTATTAAATGAAAAGATGTTGCTCCGTTTCTTCGATTTATTTTTTCATGCAGAATGACCACCTGTTGTCCGTGATTTTGTGGACACCTCGTACACAACACTATTAACAGGACAAATTGGTAGA